TTTGCGATGCATAAGGCAGTGGAAATCATATGAGAAGTGTTTTTCTCTATAGTGACATCACCTACTGTAAGATAGCCAATAAGCAAACAGACGGAGAGGGTGTAGCTGCTGTGAATTGGTCACGCAGGAACGCGTACAGATTAGGCATGGATGGTATGAAGTTATTTTTTTAGACCGCGGTATTAAAATATGACGGTATGAGTCACGTGAGGTGAAACGCCAACTTTCCAYAAGGCTGCAMTGAAAGCTCAGCTGGGACAAAGATTTCAGAAGATGTCCCATGTTCTGGTCAGCTCATCTCACTGGCTCCACTGGCTGTAGTAGTCCTGACAGACAGCTTCATGACCAACCAGCTGTGAGTTTCTAAAGGCAAGGAAAGAATGAAACTCCTTTCAGATTTAAACTTTAGGGTTTTTTTTTTTGTTTTGTTTTTCCGTCCCGTTACTGGCCCGTGACCTCGTGCTGCAGACGAAGAAATGACTACAAACTTTACACAAAGACTTTTCTTGCTAAAAGCATGCAGCAGCTTTGAAATGACCACAGTAAGAGTCAGTTTATTTTGAAAGTTAAAACTCTAAAAAGACGTAGTTTGACTTGTGTTTGACCTGTTGGACATAATAAGAGGTGAACTCATTCTGACTCCTGCTGCTCTGAGTGACAGCAGCATCAGATCACAGGCTTGTATATGTCAATGCTCACAAGCAGCTGCCTWTCCATTAATTGTTAATTACTAAACAACAACAACACCTCACCGCCCCCTGCCTGCAGTATTTCGTAAAGGTCATACTGCGGTATGAAAATGAGTAATACTACCCAACCCAAGTAGAGATGTTTATTTATGACATGCTGTGATCTTCATGAGGGAGCAGACGGTTCTGTTGGGCTGACACTCCGATAACTGTCAAACACTGAACGCTGAAATATTTAAAGTTCATGAAATTAATTCACTAATTAATCTATAAATGCTTTATAACATCTAATTAATAAGCTTAAATGTGTAAAAAGTTGATTTTTATTTCAGCTCATTCCATCTCCCACTGCTTTGTTTTACAGCTGACTTTAAGCATGCTGCTGACGTAAATAAATCATACAGTGGGTTGCAGAAGAATTCACTCCCTTGGTGTTSTTTTTGTTGCCTCGCAAACAGAAATATATCTGAATCTTTAATGTTAAAATCAAACATACTGTAGCTGAAAATATTTCAGATTAATGAATTGAAATTGGTGTAATAATAGTTTTAAAAAAGCTCTGAAATATCTAATATGAAAAGGGATGTGTTTGTAATTATTCACCCCATTCGCTTTGAAACCATTGTCTTCAGAAGCCACATTACATCAGATCCACCTGTGGCTAATCAAAGTGTCATATGGTCAGAATGTGGTGAAGGCTCCCACTGAGCAGGACACCTCAAAAACACCAAGGAACTGCCCTCACACAACAGACAAGCTGTGGACAAGTACAGATTAATTTCATTATCAGGACATGGAAAAATGAGGATCATGCACCAGAACTCTTGGTGTGGGTTCATCAGAGAAATCTCCAGTCGGGCCAAAGAGGACCTGTCCATCTGTGACTTTAGCAGGGCTCTAGAGTGYGACCAGATTTCCTAATAGTGCGACTAAAAAAATGTCAGATCGTACTGGTGCAACCAATTGTTTAAGGGGGAGAGGGTGTGGTCGCCCGCTGAAAAAAGTTTCCACGTTCCATAAAAATAATCCAGCAGTATCAATGGTCGCCCGCCGACAGTCTCATCTCTCTTTATAACACTGCGCTCTGCTCACGGGCTCCACACCTCCCGCGCACACACGTTTGTTGTTCTGTCCTCATGGGGACTTTGCATTGACTTCCATTCATTTCCCCGTCAATTCTATAGCCAACCATAACCTCCCARKTAGACACACACCTGACCCAAATCCTAACCTCACCTGGCTTTGTGTACCAGGGAAATGGTCAATAATTGTACCCACCATGAAGCAAAAATCTGTACACACACATAAACACGCGTGCGCGCACGCACGTGTAGCGAAATAACCGTCGTTTTTTATTTTTACCCAGATCGGAGTCTAAAACCAGTTCTTTCTTGTTAGCTGGAGATGAAAACAAGATGTGGACGGTTGCTCGCTCTTTAGTCCATCTTGTTGATTTAACAATCGGGGTCTGAGCGCTGCAGATCATTTCAGCAGGACGAGGAAGCTCACATGTATGGCAGGCCAGTTTTGCACTTAATCGACTTCACCACAGTTACATTCCAAGTATCTGAAATAGTTTCTTCTGGGTCTCAGG